GTCCAGTGGTGGTCTTAGGGGATGGCAAACCAGACAACTGCCCTCGGCCCCACATTTTAGGAGGCCCCAAACTTGTACAACAAATGTCAGACTTGCTTATAGGTCATCAAAACTAAGCCTCTAAGGGACCCCAAATGACTCTCTTGCCCAGAGCCCCAATGCCCCTAAGACCACCACCGATCCTTCCTCACAACCCTCTTCCACTGGACAAGGTATTTAGATGGAGAACCTGTACAAAAATCCAGAGAGATTCCAGGCGCTGCTTTTAAATCCCAAATCATCTCTCTACACGCAGAGAAACCATGGTATTGTTGTGCAGGCTGTGAAAAGTGCAGCCTGTTAACAGAAGTCTGCTCCATCGTGACTGCGCAGAAAGAAAGGAAGATCTGCTGAACGGGTAGGAACAGCCAGGGATTTGTGAAATTGCAAAAGAGAGCCAGAGACTTTCTTGCCCAAGTGATCATTTAACAAAAGCTTATAAACGGGCTAGTAAAGCTATGAGTCGGTGAACCTGTGAAGAACCGGAGAAGTTCCAAAAACATAAGATGGGCGGAGGGTGTGCACAAGAAATCTAGAATTCTGACTGGCATCCAATCAAAACGCAGAACTGAAAGAAAAAAGACGGTGCCTCAATATCAAATCAGAATGAACTTTGAGATGGATGGCGACACTCAATACTTTCAGGCCTAACTTAATGCTAACAGTGAACAGGTCACTGTGGAGAACAACTCACCAAGTTTTGAGGGATCTTCCCATCATTTATAGCCCAATAAACTGAACAGCTAAAAGGGGAAAACACCTCCAATGACAGCCTGCCTACAGAAGCCCTGTGACATTGCAACTAAAAACTAACACATTTTCCCCTGCATGTATGAAACAAAACTGTGATTGACGGCTCATCCTCAGAACAGGAGATAACTGGCCTAGTAGTAGTCCCAATACCGAAGAAAGGACATGAGGTTAATATGAACTAGTACAGTGGTATCTCTCTTCTGTCACTACCATTGAACAAACAGGATACTGTTAAACAAGACTGAGCTCTTTGTTATGCCTCTGTTAGGAATCCACCAAGCTGCATTTCACATTTTCCCATGTGATCACCCTACCTATGACCATCAGTTTACTGGAGGGCCATATACAGGTCACCCATCTGTGTGTCCTTGTCATGGCGTATGCATTCAGTCAAATTGCTTGATCATTTGATTTCTAAGTAGATTCCTTTTCCATGTCTTACAAAACCAACTGAACTGTGCTCACCGTTGATATCATTCTGTTTGCTTCTTACCGTAATTCTTCACAGAGGTACCTAAACAACTGGATGAAAGCAGCATGCAACATAGGCCCAAGGGTGGACCCAGGTGGGTGGACCCTCCCCAACACTTTGCACCCTTCCTTTCCCCTCTGTGCTGGTGAGACATCCCTTCCCCACCTATTCCCCCTCTCAGCCTCTCCACTTACTCCTCTGGGCATAGGAAGGGCTTGGGGAGATCTGTCTACTCCCACCACCACTATGTCAGCTGCTCCAGCAGAAAGCAGCTGTGCTGGGAGATGTTCCCTCTCCCTGCCCCTGTCCCTGCTCCTGGGATGTCAGGTAACACCAGCTGAAGCAGGGAGCAGCAGTGCTGGAGTTCCCCTACCCCCCACCCCCAGATCAGCCAGAGGCAGCAACGGTGGCAAGCAGGAGAGGGGGGAAACAGGAGGGCAAGGGAGGTGCCCCTGCTCACAGAAGAGGGTGCCAAGAGTAGGGGTGAGGGGGGTTTGCCTACTTTCAGCTGCTGTCCCTGTGATCAAAAAAGGGATCACCATGACCTGAAAGGAGGTGCTACCATGCCATTGCACCCCTCTGGATCTGTCCCTGGGTCAGCCTTAAACTGAGCCTGTCCAAAATGCAATCCATGATGAATTTCAAGATGCAATTCGTGATGAATTTCAAGTACTTGATCTTTGAAACAGGCAACCTTGACACTGACTTTCAACACCAAAAAACAAATTCCCTGAAATTCTATTGCCACAAATCCATGCAAAAAACCCCAAAAACTGGTGGAGATAAATATTTTGCTTTCAATCAAATTAAGTCCCTTCAAAACCTCTGGCTGGGACACCATCTTGTCCCAGTCCCGAACGAGGCAGTTATTGATAAAGAAATTGTCTCCAAGCAATACGTTCTCCACTATGCATGTCTATACACCATACTGGAGCATGGACAGGATTAAGCTCAGCTGCTCCAGGAGTTCACAAAGGAAGCCACAGCCTCACATTGTAAAATGAAGAGGCTCAATGGTTAGGCTACCATCTTTACTTACAACATCTGCCATACTTTGCAGTGCTTGTTCTGTATGCTCCCACGGCCAAAAAGTGTTGAAAAGGACACACCAAATGACATTCTGAAATTCAGACCACCCTCCCTCTGCAGCAGAAATTTTTGTAGAAAACTATGACCCAAAGTGATGGTCCATCATTCAGATGAAGTCGCCAATCATATAACACTTGTTCATCATGACGAGGACAATGACAATAGTGAAGAATGATAAGGTCAATACAGAATATGCTACCAGATGGGAGAAGAGTTGTCCAGGTGAAACCTCTAACCAAACTAGAAACATGCTGCAATCTCAGAGGACCTTGTAATTTGTAGCATGATTTTACAGATGCAAAGGACTTTGTTTCTGAATATGCATCCAAGAGGTATCAGGAAACGTTTTAGAGCCATCTACCGTGACTTAAGTTTTGTGATTTCATAAACATTTGAGACGCTGCTGCTGGTGTCACTAAAGTCATCAAATAAACAGGAGTATAAACTAGCTAACCCTGAACCCTCACTCTCTCTCTGACTTTCACAACAGCTTCAATTTAATTAGCACCTTATCACATGCAGACATCTCAAGGCACTTTAATAAAGATGTACAGTTATACAATCTGCAGGGCCAAGGTAACAAATGAAACCATGTAAAAAATTACAAACACAAACCCCAAGAAAAGCTTCCACTTAGATTTATAGAGCAAAACAATGGCAAAGCACAAAATGGGCCAGATCCACAGGTGGTCTGACACCTTCCGAGAGTAGACTTTTCTTTTACAAGTGACATTATATCTTCGGATTTTCACAAATTGGAAACTGAAGTAAATAACTGAGGAAGAAAGCCCAAAAACAAAGCCTTTTTATGGATGTTTTATAAATCATGTCTTCTGACATTCCATTTATATGCCAATCAGGGGACAAACAGTGAGGGAATATTATACATATGCTGTAAAAATAATTAAAAATCCCTTTAATTACTCTTATTGAATGTCTCGCCTGTGGGTCAAAGAGTAGTGTAGTTCAAGTCCCACAGTAGGTAGTAGGATCATACACCATGTTGGAGCAAAAGCATCAGACTAGAGAGGCTGCCTTTAAACATGCCGGCCTTCAGATGAGAAATTAAATAAGGGTCTAATTTGCATTTCTCATGGTTGTCCAGGTGGATGTTAAAGATCCCATGGCTCTCTTCAGACAGCATTGGGGATAACCCCAATGTCTTAGCCAACACTCCCCTCCTCAATAAAACAGGTTTTAATGTCCCAAGTTGGGAATCATTGCCAAGCACAAAATAGCTGTTATGTTTCTCTAAAGAATCATTAAGTTGCTCTGTGGGATAAATCTTGAAGTAATTTTACCTAAGACTTCCAATCACAGGTAAATACTCCTGTTACCAGTACCTAATTCTTTACCTTATAAAATTATCATTTCAGGAAGACATCCATATTCAGGACAGCACTTGAAATATGCTTCAATTAAGCACTGAAGTCTATGGGAAGTTAACCAAAACTAATAGAGATAGACAGGGGTTACATACAGACCATTAATGGTAAGCATGCACTCCAAAGCTTGTCTGAATCACAGCCAAAATGATTAGAGATACCTTGAATAGGATTTCAATAGGATTGATTATCTATAGATTTATTGTCTAGTGTCTATTGACCAACTATCCAACGTCTACTGATTATTTGTCTCAACAGTGCTGCAAATCCTTTCCATCATGAAATACATAACTATCAGCAACTGACTTAATTTAAATTGAATTTAATTATTTAATCATTTTATTAATTATGGTGTATCCAGTGGATACAGTAATACAAAATTAGTTTTATAGTATTAAGCTTTAATGAACTTTTTTTAAACTTTTTTTTTTATAGGAAAACAAAGTTCAGTGACACTGAAGAGGCATTTGAAAAGATTATGAGGCTGCTGCATGATTTAAAAAGAAGAAAAAAAATCAAAACCACTGGTGCCTTCTCAATGCACATTAACTTTATACATTGGAAAATATCTCAAGAAAGAAAGCTTAATCTGATTTTTGTGTAAACAGTCAGTGGCAAATGAGCACACCGTATTGAATGAACTTCCAAGGCAATGGCCAGAGGACCAAAAAAACCAGCAAATGATCTTTTTCTGCATGTGTGTGTGTATGCACATGCGCATGTGTGTAAATACACACACCATTATATATAATAAGTAACCTCTCTATAGATCTGTGTGCACACAAGCAAGTATGTCTCACCAACTCCTGCAAATACATATTTCAATATAGATAATTCAATATACAAAAAATTGCATTATACAATTGGGCCAAAGCATATTGTATTTTTACCTGACCTTCACTGGTCAGGTTCATAGGATAGCTCTTTCACACCCATGTTTCCCACTCTTAAAATGCACTCGAAGCTCCTGATAAGAAGCAAAACCTCCTAGTATGTTGAAATAACTTCTGGACACAATTTTACATGCTTCCCACATCACCATATTGGATTCTGTTCTCATGGGGAGAGAGATCTCTAAATCAAAAGTGTATTTTAGTTGAGAAAGAGGTACTGAACTGCCAGCTTTTGAAATATCCAGCAAGCTATTTTCGTCATGCCTTGGCATGCAGGGGGACTGGGGAAACCAAATTTAAAGAACTTGTCGAAGCTCAGAATAATTTGTGAAGTGAATGGAAAGTGCCCTTGACAGTAAGAAACTGCTTGCCTTGTGTAGTGAAATAAATACTAAGTGGAAATTCCAAATTTCCTCACGGCCCCCTAGTCAGGGATTCCTGGGCAGGTCATCCCGCACATCTGCACCACGTTTGCCCCATCTTCAAATGGCATCACTAATGCCCCACCTTTGAGAGGCTTGAGATCTTCAGAAGAGTCGGAATAAGAACTAATTCTCCTCTTTCTCGTCATCAGTACCAACGCGCCTTGTGCTGAGCAGTCCAGCTACCTATTCATTATTTGTACCATGTAGCACACAAAGTAACTAACCACGACTGGGATCCAACTGTCACAGGCACTGTATGGATGCAAAATAAAAGAAGTGTGAATTTGCAAAGCCCTGATGGGGTTATAGTCTAAACCAGCAGTTCCCAAACTCTGACAAATTACACACCACCAATTTAAAACAATACAACCTTACATACCACCTGGGCGGGGGGTGGCTGTGTGTGGGGGAGGAGCATAGGGTATGTTGGGGGGTTGTGTATAGTTGGGGGTTTGTGGGGGAAGGGTGTGGGTGTGTGGGGTTTGTGGAGTGGAGTGTGAGGGACCCCCCACACTCCTCCCATGGTGCAGCAGCAAGCAGGGGTGCTCAGGACACTCAAGGCACCCAACGGGGCTCAGCTCCAGCCAGTGCTGCACATCACAGCGAGGGGTGCATCCTCCGCTGGGCAGTCTGTATCGCTGGCACTCCCCACACTCACTGGCCATGGGAGGGAAACCCTGCATGCTGAAGCCGGCTGCCTTCCCTGCCCCACAGGGGAAAGCACCTGGGGCTTCCCTCCCACTCTGCACAGCCCCAGCGGGGAAGGCAGCTGGCTCCAGCACACAGGGCCTCCCCCTGTGCCCAGTGAGCGCAGGAGTTGCACATGCACACCAGGGAGCACTGGCGATACAGATGGCCTGGCAGAGGCTGAGTCCCTTGCTGCAATGTGCAGTGCTGGCTAGAGCTGCACCCTGCTGGGCACCTGTGCCAGGCACAAGTGCCCTGAGCACCCCTGCCTACCACTGCCGTGTACCACTGACAGGTCGTCTGCATATCACTGGTGGTACACGTACCCCAGATTGGGAACTGGTGGTCTAAACAAAGAGCACAGATCATAGAAGCACTACTCACCTCCATTTTCAGATAGGAAAATGAAGGCATTGGAAGTTTCTGCCAGTGTGAGAATTTTAATTTATCATCTCCTGAGTCCCAGACAGGCTCATAGCTGACTTACAGAGCTGGTAAAACATACAAACTGGTCAAAAAAATTTCCCTCAAACTGTTTTTTTTTTCCCCCACATAAAAATATGATATAATCAGTAAAGTGTTTTTGGCCCGAACCCAAAATACTTTGTGGTTTTTTTCTGT